CCCCAACACTAATGTAAACATTGTTACTGGAGGCAGAGTCGGACACGTTTTCTGACAGCCAATGGGTTGACTGGCTCATACCCACGTCAAGAAAAGGCCAGCATTTGGTGGTCATGTCAACACTCTCACACTCAATCTCACACTCAACTCGCGGCATTCAGACCCTGAGCACAATACAGGACTGTTATTGTAACCCATCTGCAACAAATATAGACCAGGAGTCACTGGGTTATATTCTGAGAGTTTTATTTTGCTTCTAAATCTCTGTCCCAACAGAATACTATTTCAATCCCAGTGTTGTCAGACTGCTGGCTGTATTTTTCGAATGGCGGTGGGGGGGAAAATACAGGTCAAAGGAAGACTGGAGCAGTGGCAATAGTAGGGTGGTGTAGCATATCCCACTCCCAATCAGTTTGCCGTTCACGATTGTGATTAGATGTGGTGAGCAGCTCCATCCCAGTTTGGCATCCTTGCACAGAAAGGGTCTTGTGGTTATATGGATTTACAAGGGAGCTGTTACAGAGACAATGTTCCATTGTTAGTCTGAACAGCGAGGACTCGGGAACCAGGCACATCTGTATGATGCAACTACTGCTGCCTCTCGAACATGGGGGGTGCGGGGGGAGGGGGGTGGGCTGCGATGTGTGGAAAGTCTACCCTTGAATGTCTCTTGAGACTTTCACTAATCTTTAGTTTGAGGGGAAAAAGTTGAATGCATCAATATAGTAAATAAAGACAGCTGTGCTGGTTTCATCGGGCTTCCAACTGATTTCTTGTTTTTCTGTTCAAGTCTAAAATGTTGGCAATTGTCCAACTATTGCAAGTTATTGTCTGTTGGAAGGAAGCTGTGTGCACATGTTTTTCTTTATCTCCCTCAAAAAAAGTACAGGGTGAGATTTTAAAGCCGTTTTTCTGCCTACTTCTAAGGCGCTAAATTGCCTATTTTACTCCCAAGAGGGCCTCTTTTGTGTCTGTTGAATTGAAGAATAAGTTTGACAGAAAGTGTATATTCTAAAATGTATTTTATCTTGGCTTTTTAAAAGAACTTGGGTGAATTCTGTTTAAGGTGAGTGATGATGTTTAAGAGGAATGGAATGTGATTGCTCTTTGTGTTCAGTGACCATGTCAAATGCTTCTCGTCAGGCGAGTTCAGTTTCTAAAAAACAACCTTATGTCACTGGCTAGAACTCCGCTGCTTGTGTGTGGCTTCACTGCTCAGTCAGCAAAATAATAATAATAATAATAATAAGGTTTCCATGTCCCTATCATAAGAGTTGTGGCTGAAACCTCTATTGCAAGAGTAGTGGCTGAAAGCTCAGGCACCAACGGTGGGATCTAGAGAGTGAGAATGAGAGAAGTAGACCAGAGTTGGGTTGCAAGAGTGGAGAGTATGGGCAGAAGAGGAGCCAGTCTGATTTATTACAGCTCATTGTTTTTCAGATGTGCTTTGCATGATGTCAAAGGAAAAAGCAAATGGGAGCCTTTGTTTGCATGTTTCTCCAACAACATGCAAAGAACATCTGAACTATGTACAGAAATTGTTGGGACAGTTTCTTCTTGGTTTTGTGGCCTCTGAGATTGGTAACGCTCTGAAGTATAGGATGTGTGCACATACTGTACTATATTTAGCCACTTCACCTATTTCCTTTCATTACCTCAGTAACTCAGAGAAACCTGAATCTCCTGCCCTTCTCATCCTCCTGCTTACTAACCACAAAAAACAGACTCATCACTCAAACCAGATACCCAAACACCTGAATCAATGCAATCAGCATTCTGGTGGGCAGGTTGGAAACTCGCTGTGGTTATGAGTCTTTCTATTCTGAGTGAACATTTCTGTAGTTTCGGTCACGAGAGCCCAACCCACATGCAAAGCTGAGACTGAATTAGCAACTGGCCTGCGGCACCTGGACCAGGACTGCTGGGAGAGACTTGAGAACAAATCAGCTAAGTAATTGCCAACGTGCTGCTCCCTTTATACTAGTGTTAGTATCTGAAGCTGTGCAATCTCTAATATCAATGCTGATTACATGGGGATTAGGCAGTCATGTTGTTAGTGTAACAAACTGATGTGCAAACGTGTTTCCCTTCCAAACCATTGTATTGGGGGGATGTATCTCAGCTCTTGTCATTTGTTTCTCTTGCCCTTGTACTTCTCTGTCTTTTCACGGGGATGTCAATGAAGGGAGATGGTACGTGGGAAGTTTTGGAAATTCATCTTGTGTGAACCCCTATTTAGGTTTCCTTAATGATTGTTTAGCTTTTAAGTGAACAGATTTCACATCTGTCTAATGATGTGCTAAATTGTTCCAGTAGTACTTTCCTCCTTCCCTCTCTCTCATCTTCAGTGTGATGTTGAAATGCTGCTGTTTCATGACATGATAATGCAGTATTTTGAACTATCTTCATAGAGGAGTTTGCCAAGTTACACTGTATGATTGATAGCTCAGGCAGCCATGGTTATAGAATGGATTTTATGAGTTCCTTCAGTTTTTGGCTTCAGGTGTCGGTCGTATACTTGGATCAATTCCATATCTCTCGGGCAGCAGCATAGCACAATAGCAACCCATGTTTATTACTGTAGCACAATCAATTAAAGTGCCAATTCATGCCATAAATCAAATTGACTACATCATAAAATCAACAGTGCTCTTTGTTCCAATTCATATGCCATTTCTGTAATCTTGGAATGGGAGCATGCCACCACAACATTGAAATTAATATTCTCAGGCGGCCTTGCTATTCAGCCTTGGAGGCCTCAGAAATACAAGGCAGTATTTGCACAGTTCTGCTTCATGTGGCGAACCCAAACTACAAGGAGGCTCAGCCTCTTGATTGAATTGGGACGTCCTCCTGACGTGAAAGGCGCTTTATAAATGGAATCTTGTTGTTGTTGTTGTTGTTGAATTGTAAGGAAGCAATTCAGAGAAAGATGTCTATATAGGAATGTTCAGGACTGCAAAAATATCCCATTACGAGTCTACCTTTTGCCTATAAAATACACAGTCACTCCACTTCACACTATATCCTTGAGACATCTTAACGATGTGATAAGGTGCTATGTCAAATGTAAGGATTATTATTATTATTTAGCTTGCTCTGCCTACTCCTCCCCTCTTTCAGTGATTGAGCTTTCAGTCACTATGCTCTCACTCTCTGGCACTTTCTTCCAAAATCCTTCCGAATCCCACCTCCCCCACTCCCCCCCCCCCCCCCCCCAATAAACATAATAATCTTTGCATTTAATATAGCAACTTCCACATTCGAGGGTGTCTCAAAGCACTTTATTCCAAAGAGCAGTGACTATTTTATAGGCAAACACAGCTGCCAATTTGCACACAACATCCCAAAAGCAGCCATGAACCGAATGACCAATTTTAACTGGGGGATTGTTGGCCAGGACTCTGGGAAAGCCTACTACTTTGACTGTGTTTTAGGTCACCTTCTATTTCCTTGTTCCCACCAGTGATCCTTACTATCCACGTGAAGTGCTTTGAAATGTTTTTGTTGAGTGCAAGTTATTGTGTTCTGGTGTAGGATTACTCCCCTTCCCCTCAGACCCCTGTAAGAGTGCGTAAATTTCAGAACTTTGTGATAAAGTAAAATGAAGGAGAATAAAGCAAGTCGAGTGTCACCACGTAGTTCTCTCACAAGGCGAGATTGGAAGATTAGAAATGGAAAGATGATCTGAAATAAAACTGACACACTGGAAATTCACAGCAGGCAGTCAGCATCTGGTAAAGACAAACACAGGTCAATGTCTCATGCCTGACCATTTTCAGACCATCAGTGGGAAAAGTAGCTGAGTCTCAGCAGTACAGATGTTGCTCCCCCCGCCCCATTGCTCCAGTCAGTGAGTTGCTTCTCCATGCACAGACACCTTGCATTAATTTATTGTAACTGAGTCATGCTGCTGTAACCACCAGGCATGACCACAGACGTCTGGGTGTCTCGTTTGAACTGGTTGGGACCTGCCCAGACTGGTTTGAACACGGTGTTGTCAGCACAGCACGGAGTGGAGTATCGTGGAGGAAAGGCTGGAGTTGAGGAAGTGCATGTTTTACCCCTCCATGTGGAGCCCTTTGTTTTACCAGTGACTCCAAAACAGAATCCAATGCCAATAGCAACTGTGAAACATTCATTGCAGGATAATTCTGGTTCTAGCTGCACGGTCTAAGTTTAGCTTGAGCTAGAATCTGCTGTTAGCTGTTCAGATTTTAGTGGAATCAGTGCTCCATTGTGTGCAGCTGAGGTTCTCTTCTGCACTTTTGGTAGATGTACGGAATGCACCATTAACTGTACAAACTCTGTTGGTGCCATCTATCAGTAGAAGACCATACTGCAAGATCTGCCTTCAATGGTAGGATAGTACTGTATATGTTCACTTATAATGATAGCACCACAGAAATATAGAAATTTACAGCACAGCAGGAGAGTATTGTGCCTCTGTTGACTGTCTGAAAGAGATATCTGTTTAGTCCCATTCTCCTGTCGTTCCCGCATACCCTTCCTATTTCCCTTTTTCAAATATTTTCCTAATTCAATCTCCCAACTAAAATTGGTCGCTCACTCCATGGCTGCTTTGGGACACTGCTGGGAACAATTGGCTGCCGCGTTTCGTCCACAAAATATGCTGTCAATTCGCTTTACAGTATATTCTGTGAAGTGCTTTGAGACATCTGAATGGAATGATAAGGCTTTATATCAAATACAAGAATTATTATTATTGAAATTTAATATGGATTAGTTTGCTTTTATTCAGTCTGATTGTAGGGAATTCCATCACACCAAAGGCTCCAGTATTGCAAAATAGTTGTCGTGTTTATCTGCAAATAGTCACTACACTTGATAGCAATTACCTATGAAGGACTTTTAGACATTTTGATGTTTTGGTATTACATCAAATACAAGGATTAGTTCTATTTTAATGCAGGCGAGCATTTGTTCAGTTTACAAATGTGTCCAAAGTTTTTTTTTTTGCCTTACCTTTTCCTGTGCAGAATTCCATCCGACACAACCTCTCCCTACACAGCAAATTCATCCGGGTCCACAATGAAGCGACCGGGAAGAGCTCTTGGTGGATGCTCAACCCTGAAGGTGGGAAAAGTGGGAAGTCTCCCAGGAGGAGAGCAGCATCGATGGATAACAACAGCAAACTGATAAAGAGCAAGGGGAGAGCTGCGAGGAAGAAGGCTGCACTTCAGGCAGCCCAGGAGGGCAGCGCCGACAGTCCTGGATCCCAGATATCCAAATGGCCTGGAAGCCCTTCCTCTCGGAATAATGAGGATTCAGATGCCTGGACCAGTTTTAGGCCAAGAACAAGCTCGAATGCCAGTACCTTAAGTACTGGGCGTCTGTCTCCGATATTGCCAGAGCAGGGTGACTTGGAAGATGAAGATCTTTGCTCTTCACTCATCTACCCCAGCTCCTCAAGCAAATTGCCACCTACCCTAGTGGAAGAACTTGAACTTATTGATAGCTTGAACCTCATGTCCCCGTCATCCTCGGTGCCATCTCAGCAGTCACTGTCCACTGGCTTGATGCAACAGGATTCCACATATGTCTTCAGGCAACAGAGTACAGCCTCAGGCTCACAGAGCTCCTCGTACGGAAGCTCCTTCTTCGATTCGTCTGACCTGCCGCCTGTGCAAAGCCATTTCAGTGGCCCCGCAACGCTTGAAGCTCTCCTGACCTCTGACTCCCCCACTCACAGCGACGTGATGATGAGCCAGATTGACCCCGTCATGCCACAGACAGGTGGGCGGCTCAACAGCGAGAGCCTATTGCTGCTGGGGGAGTCCACCTTCAGTCCTCCGTCTGAGCAATCCAAGCTGAACCAAGACGCTCACCAGGGGAAGTCTCCAGGTCCATCGGCAGTGTCCGTTAACACCAACACTTTACCTCACACCCTGGGTATGCTGGGACCTCAGCCCAATGCCAACCAAATGCCTATGTTGAAGGCACAGCTGCAGACACCGCTGAGCCAGTCCCTGCCGCTTGGCCTGCAGTCCAGCCAGAGCTCCAACAGCAGCAGCAGCATCTCCTCAGGAGGCCTGAATGTCAACGTTGAGAACTTTCCTCGAGATTTGGACTTAGATATGTTCATGGAGAGCCTGGACTGCGACATGGACTATATAATAGACCATGACCTCATGGATGATGAGGGGCTGGATTTCAACTTTGATCCTGTCACCACCAGCCCGCCCTACTCCAAAACAACCACACAGTCGTCCACTCACAGCTGGGTGCCGAGCTAACTCCAAACGGACTCTCTACCTGTAAGTAAGTGGATTGTATTTACAAACTGGTGCCGGGGTGAATATAAACAGGTAGGCTGCAGATCCACAGCAGCTCCTGAAAGAGAAAAACAGGTCAACGTCTCTGATGTGAGCCTTTGTTGGAACCTCTTTCAGATGCTGCCCCCACCCTCTGGAAATCCAGTCCCTTCGTCTCTCGCCCCTTCCTTGCTTCCTTCAAGGCACATCTCAAGATCCTCCTCTTCGACCGATCTCCTACCCCTCCCCTTGCTGCCCTCCACCCTCCCTGATCCCAATCCCTAGCTCCAGTTCAAATCCCTGACTGTCCAGCGCCTTGGGATGTCCTCCTGTCGTGAAAAGCGCTGTGTGAATGTCATTTGTTGTTGTTGTTGCAGTCTACTACAGTTTATTGCAGCTTACAGGACAGAAGAAAATAATTTAAACACAAATGGAAAAGCAATTCAATCACACTGATTTACTTTATTTTCCCTTACTTGCAGGTGGTTTCTTGTTTGCAAGTTGATTTAGGCACCACTCCCCCTCACACGCTGAATTTAACATCTTGCTGAAGAGGCGACACTGGAGCATGAGTATTTGTTCCATAATATTCTGCCTCGTGCATTGCACATGTCCGAGGGTGACTGTCCACTGTGCTCCCTCTGATATCCAGTGTACATAGTCACATAGTCCTTCAGTGAGGATTCACATTTTCCACGTGCCAACACTGCCCTGACTTCTTTTACACTCTCAGGGGAACTGGACTAAAGTGATGAGGATTATATATATATATTATTTTTTGCTCACGGCTCTCATCTGGCGATCTGTCATTTTGTAAATACTAAGCTATGTTAGCGCCCTGTACAGCGTGCTGACATTTCAACAGGTGTGATGTTTCTTTCAAGGTTTTTTTAAGGACATAAAATGAAGATTTTTTTTTTAATCCACTTTCAGTAATATGTAGCAAACAATGCTCTCTCTCGCTTGGATTTATGTCACAAACACTACACTGAAGAAGGATCATTCACAGCTAACTACTAAGAGTTCAACTACATCATGCAAAGCCACGAGGTTGTGGGAGCGGAGCCCTATTAGACAGGCTACAGATTAAGGGAAGTAAATGCAAAGCATTTGTGAAAAGTTGGCTCCATACCTTGCTTTTAAATGGAAAGCAATTGGGGCGGGGGGATAAAGTGTGAGCGGATATCCAATGAGACTTTTCTACTAGTTTATTTGCCAACAACAACGGGTCCGGCCTGGACATTCAGTTACATAGTGACTGGACAGGTCTGCCCACCAAATCCGTGGAAATAACACAGCCCCAGCCTGTAAAGCAATATAACAACAACAACTTTCATTTACATAGCGCCCTTCATGAGGGGTAGCGTCCTGGAGCACTTGATAATCTTGAATATAGGTGCATAATCGCAAGGAAGAAGAATGCCCAATTGATATTGCCTTCTCTCTCTTCCCCCCCAGCCCCCCCCCCCCCCCCAATTAATGGCTTCCTCAAGCCGAACTGTCATTACACTTTCTTTGTGTAAGTGGCTGGTATTGGCAACTGCAAAACAGGAAATGAAGCACATTGGACTGAAACCGTCATACACACACAACAGCTTCTATAATTAGCTGAACTGTGACGTCCCAGTCAACATCTACGGCAATGGATACCTGGGTGTGGTATTGCCAGATTTGTAGGAGTGAAAGTCAAGTTGTTTGTACAGCTGGCATCCGGACATCATATAGCTGACAGCAATCTTTGGCTTTGGGTTTTTTTTAAAGAGGGAGGGCTTTGTTTCCCAGCGCTTTGGGACGTCCCCCCGACGTGAAAGGCATTAAACAAATGTAATTTTGTTGTTGTTGTTTGTGGGTTGATGCTTAGTTCTCAGTGCAGTAGTGTGGGACCATTTGATGCGCAATGCCACTGACATCAAAAGGGTTAACAGCAGCAACCCACAGTAAGTTTTTATCATGAAGCCATCCTTCAATCGTTGGTAACATAAGAGCTGTATTTAGTAGAGGGCACATTCCCAGCTTCTTAAACATTGACTTGAACTTAGTGAGATTTCATTAATTGTTGTACTGAAATACTGAATCACACCTATTTTTTAATTCATGCAAAATCAACATAATGAAGTAAGGGGAGCAAACTACACTAAGCTGCAATGAAATTGCAAGTGTACCATGTAGTGAAGATTTAAAAAAAAGCTTCCCCATGTTAAAGACACTGTCTGATACACTACACCACACAGACCAGAAAGTGTCTTGGGGACTACAATTGACTGCATGCAGTGACTGGGCTGTGAAGAGTGAACATCAGTCAGGAATTGTCTCGTAACCTACATTTCCACCTAGCTTGCAAGTCCCATTTCGCCCAGAAATGTAGGAAATTCTTCAGTTCATTCATAATTTGAGAGCTGGTTCTTTTTAAGCACTTCAGAAAGTAAGCTTCCAAATTAAAACTGAATTGAATTTTCCACAATTTTATTTTAGAAATCTTAAAACGAAATTGTCCCATTGGCTGAGACAGGATGAAATTGTCAGGCCTCAAATCATGGCTACTGATGGTTATTAGGCACGTGATGAATTCCTTCCCCGATGCTCTGATAAATTAAAAACATTCCCCAGGACACCCCCCCCCCCCCGGACTGGAATCCAGCAGAATGGTTGGGAGGGAAAATATAGGACTGAAAACAAAAAGGGAAATACAGATTGACAGTGATGATCTACAGTAGGCAAATCATGCCCCAATCATGTCCATTCTCATCCAGACTCTGTTGTAACCTTTACATAGAATCACATGAAGCGTTACCATATGGAAACAGACCATTCAGCCTCGCTGGTCAGTGCAGCTGTTTCTACTTCACTTGAGACTCCATTCCTCTTTCATTCTCCTCTATTCCCTTCTTCCTTGAGTATGCAATCTGTTTTGTTAGATTCCAGCAGGAGAGAGTAGAAAATGTTCAAGATTTTCATTGAAAGCAAAACTTTTCTAACCTTGGAAAGTCTATTTTCTTCTTGTTCTGCTCCAGCTGCCAACTGAAATACATTGAGGATTGATTTATGAGTTTTTAAAAAAATATATAACTTTCCTCTCAGCCCGTTTCCCCTTCCAACATCGAAGCGAAAGAGTTTCCTGCCTCATGATGGAGGAAATCCGATGATAGTCTTAAAAATAACCGATTTCCTTCCCCCCAATGACAAATAATTGTAGTAGAGGTCAAGGCAACACGGTGAGAGCAATGTTCAAACTCCCACCTTTAATGACTTTAATAGCCTTTTTTTGGCTCTGGCACAGTCTATGTTTGCTCCATGAAATTCTACAACACTGTTGGAGGCCACTTGACTGACCCATTGTATCAGTTGCTGTTTGCTCCTTCAGTGATGCTGTCTACCCCAATTCCCAACTCTTTCTCTTCATTCTTTCTCTGCGTGCATCTCCCTTTGAAATGCCCCCAATCACTTTGATGCTTTGTGTTGATGGGGGATTTTTGTTTTGGTCAGCTGGGTGTCTGACACATGAGGAAACCCATCACCGTGTTTAAGAGTACCGAAACCACCAAACTGAGAAGTCCATGCAACCCACCTACACATGAAACTTCCAGAGATAGATTGATTGGGGACTGGGTTCAGTGCTGTTCCACACGTGCTATTTCAGGCTGCCTCGAACCCTAAGGTAGTTACTAATTCTTTTTGGGGGTTTTATCATGAAACATTTACACTGGGGCAAATTGGGAGCATGTATTACATTACCACACAAACACTACACACAATAATCACTGGGAACAATTATAACATTAACATAAACCTGCCTTTACCTCTCAGGGTGACACAAAACACATGCTTATGATGAAGCGCACGATGCAAGTGTGTTTATTATTTTTGATTTAGTAATCATGACTATATACAGAAGGGGCCGTATGCACAAGTTTTTATTTGTTTACAGAGATCAGCATAAGTAATTTTCAGATTTCAATTTTTTGTTATAGAAAAAAAATCCAAAAGATTTACAGTGCTAGATGCGTGTTTCTCAAAATTTTAAGTGGATTAGGTTCAGATTTTAAATGTAAATAAAATTGTGCTGCACCAAATAGTTAATAGCTTTTTTTTTAGACTTTCAGTGTGTGTACTTCAAGCATAAATCAGTTTGAATAGTGAACCAAACTTTTTTTTCTAATAAGAAAATATTGTCCTGTAGCCATCTGCAGTAGATGTAGCCATAATTTGTTTTGCATTTTTCAAATGCGTGATAAGAGAGAAACACAAATTTACTTTGTGTTTTGTATCTTTGTATATATACATAATCCAGGTTGACACTCCAGCTCAGTACAGGGGGACACGACTTCTTTGGTCGGGACGTTAAACTGAGGTTCCGTCTGCCTGTACAGGTGGACGATAAAGATCCCATGACACCATTGGAAAAAGGGAGTTTCCCACCCTTGCCAACGATCCCCCAGATAAAATAGGTCATTCACTGTGTGTGGTGAAAATAGCTGCCACAGACAGTCACTACACTTGACAGTAATTATCTGTGAAGCGCTTTGAGGCGTTTCAACATAATGAAAATGCAAACTCTTGCAACCTATAGTACATTTCCCTTGTACTGTAGCTTGTAAATCTACTCTAGGGATTTGAGTTGCATCAGGCGGGTGATAATATGTTGGGCCAACACATGCAAAATGGACAGACAGCAAAGTCCAACGACGACAGGAGTTGGGATTCAAATTGAACTAGGAGGAGGAATAGAAATACATGTTAACATGGGGTGGGAAGGGAGGAACTACATGGAACACAGGTAAAATCCTACCATGGTGCTATCTTGAAACGCTAAGAGCCTCTCTCAACCTATTTAAAAGGAGATACTTAAGAGTTGGTGCAGAACTAGAGTTATAGTTTTCATCTGACGGCTGCACCTTGCACCTCTCTTGTGTTGCCCATGTATGTTTTATGCTGTACCGAAAATAAGGCAAGAGGGATCTTTTAGAAAGATTCTGCTGTGCTGGGGGCAGGAGGTGTAGGGGAACCCTTTTCGTGGAGATGGCTCTCTCACAACTAATCAGCAACTAAATGTGGGTCAGTGGGGCAGAAGTTCCCCCGGATTCTAGACCTTTACTTTGTTTACTTTACATTTTAAGGAGCATATGTGGGCAATTGTTAAATTCAGTCTTAATTTTGAAGCTGTTTTTCTTTTATTATTTCTCCCTTGCACAGGGGCCTGACCCGATTGTGAAACGCTCCGAGTACTCTATCTTACGCGAAGGGCACAAGTTGTTGTTGTTCAGTACAGAACACCGGCTTCAAAATTAAGGCTAAATTTCAATAATAGTTCAAAATTCACTTGCTCTGAAATGCTAAAAGTCTAAAGTCCTTTCTCCCCCAGGTTTGGATTTTCCCAGCTGGAGAAGGGAATGCACAGCCTTAGATGGTGAGGAAATAGAAAGTGGAAGGTGTTATTCTGAGGTTAAACGTATAAAAACACAGCCTGCAACTAGTTAAGGGTACATTTTATAACATGTTAACGTGAAGTGTTTTAAATTTCTACAATAGAGTGCATTTTTATAATATAATGTTTTAATATAGCTCTTGTTGAATGAACAGCCGGGGTTGGTTTAGGCCAACTTAATACACCAGTTGGGTTTGACAAATGGCAAGTGCAGAGATCAGTCTATGAAATCTTCGATGCGTAATTAAACCTATTAAAAATTATGCATATTTCAGGATTATGCGGTACCTGAATTCAGACGGACGTTCAATGTTGTTATGTTTTGGTACAATAAAGTATTCTAGTTGTGTAAGAATGATGTGTTCCGATGGTGTGTATAATACCTGTTGTCTTGCATGCTGTACTTTTCCTGTTTCAATGGAGGAACATTGATTTATTGATTGATTCATTTTTAATGGACTGTATCCAGGGCTTAGACTCAGCTCCACTTGGAGCCTTGTGTCAGACCAATTTTAGCACATCTTCCGCCCTAAAGTTTAATTTCCGCAATCAAGTGCACAACTTTTTATATGCAGCAGCTATTCGGATCATACTTTAAACCAAGGTCCCATTTATGCCTGTTGAGGCAGACCCTCAAGATCTACTGGCACTATTTAAATGGAGATGGGAATTTCTCTCTCCTAGTGTGCCGACCGACAATCATCTAGAGAAAATTGGTCACTCACTTCATGGCTGTTTGTGGGACATTGCTCTGCAAATTGGCTGCTGTATTAGCCTACAAAATATACCGTCACAACACTTTACAGTAAATCCTGTGAAGTGCTTTGAGACCGTCTCCTGACGGGAAAGGCGCTGTATTAAATGTAAGGATTATTATTATTTCCTATGGTTTTTGAAATTTCCCCCTGGCTGGAGTGTATGTGTGTGGGGAGAGGGGGAGGATTTCCTTTTAAATGTGTTTAATATTAAAAAAAATCCCTACAATGTTTATGCAAAATAGCAGCATGAGAATGTACGTTTTATAAAACGTTTTGAATAAATCACCATTAAAAAAGAAACGGTGCCGTGGTTTAACATATCGATTGGCTGTTGTAACAAGTCTAGCAAACATTTCAAACACATTGCGCGCATGAAAGGTTCACGACATCCTTCAATAAGCGAATGGAGCTTCTCCCAGTGATCTGGGCAACAGTCCTCCTAAATCTCGGGAGTAAACCGGCGAGTTACTTCATGACTGTGAGACTTCGCTGAGCACAAATTGGCTGCTGAGTTTGCCAGCCTTTGCACAGTTACAACACTTCACAGCAATTACCTGTAAAGTGCCCGTGCCATTATAGGCGCTGAATCGAACACAACAATTAATGGGATTAGTTTGTATCTTGTCCAACTGAACATCCTTTACATGCGAGCCCAGATTCAGAGCATTGGCACGTTTATAGCACTCCGACTGAGGAATCCTCACAGCCACATATATACTATACAGCAGGGAACTTGGGGTGGGGTAGGGAGGGGGGAAGCGGGGGGGCTTGCTGGATAGCAATCAGCGATTGATTTTCCCCTCCCAGAGATCTGAGGCAATAAGGCCAATTTCTGGAGCCCCAAACTGCTGAGACCGGTATTCTAAAAGCTCACAAGCAGAGCACCATCTCCCGGTTGATGGTAGAAGTACCCGTGGACAGTCCATGATTGGCAGGAACATTAAATGGGGCCACTGATTTATCATTGACCCCACCCCCACTTCCTAGATAATTGAATAAAACTTAAAAGGACACAGATATAGGGCAATGCCGCACAATGTCGCACCTCCTCGCAACAGAAATGTATCTTAAAAAAGCGATCAAGGTTATCGCTGGCCTTACGATTGATCGATCCACAATCTCCCCGGATTCCAAGTTAACCCAACTTGTGAATCTCCTCCTGTGATCAAATTGGTCATTCACTCCATGGCTGTTTGTACGGCATTGCTGTATGCAAATTGGCTGCTACATTCACCCACCAAATCACAGTCACTGGACTTTGGAGAGTATCCTATACGCTTTGAGATGTCCTGACGTGAAATGCTAAATCAAATGCAAGCATTACTATTATAACCTGCAATCATTTACAATGTTGTGTTTGCGTGTTAACTCCTGTGCAAATAATGTGTACAAAAACAAAAGGCACTAAAGTTACGCTCAAAGAGAAAAAAAAGACGATGAGACAAGAGATTAGGCACAAGCCGAGTTTTTTTTTTGTTTTGTTTTTTCACAGTTTTAAAAAAAAGATGTTAATCTTTTTATTTGGGTGCAAATCAAAACGTTACTCCACATCTTCGAAGCTCCCGAGTGAACATCAAAGACAGAAGCAGCGGCTACGGATAGGCTGCAATAAGCTCCGAACCTTTCTTACGGCGATTCTCGATCTTGTAAGAAAATCCTTTTCTTTTACGAACAGGAAAAGGGGCTTCTCTCCTCACCACAAACCCCCACCCCCCCCACCCTGTGTAAACACGCAGTTCGGTTAGCGAGATTGACGACGGAATGGGACTCCATTTTGGAACGGGTTAGTCAACAGCTGAGAGTGAAAGGCCTCTTTGTTCCTTTCCCTCCCGTCCACCACTCTGCCTGACTCCCATTCCTCATCGCCATATAAAGTATTGCACCATCAGAACACATCGCGTGAAAGTAATTTGACCACACGACGAATACAGGTTGTCCAAGACCGAGACTGGAAGATCCCTGACCCAACAACCCCGAGAGCAGCACAGCTCCCTGACCCGACCACTTGTTCCAAATTGGCGGCCGTTTACAATTAACCTTATTTTTTTTTAAAAAAAAAGCTTTTTGTAAAGTCACACATTTATAACCGCTAAAAGAAGTCATTTTTAGTACTTTTAAACTGGTTTTCACCTAGTGATGGACCAGCAAAAACATTTTTTTTTCCTCTTTTATTCTCTCTAAACTGAAGAGGGAGGGGAGGAGGGGTTGGGTATGTGATGGATGGATGGTAACAAGCAGGAAAACCCAGGCTTGGGTTTAGAGCAGTATTGGCCAACTTGTGGCCCGCGGGCCGGATGTGGCCCCCAAACATTCGCACAAGTCTGTGTTTGATCGGTAGGGTGTTTTCAGTTTTTTTCTTGATTGAATATTTCCTGATTTATTTCTTGAATAAATCAAAAAATATTCAATCAGGAAAATGTATTGTGTTCTGTTGGCCAACCTTTGTTCATGGAGTCTAGTCCCAACGGTAGGTCCACACTTTGTCCAGTGCTCCCTCAAGGTCTCGAGGTATGCACCTTTATCGCTCCCTTGCAACAAAAGGGGGAGGCTGGCGGGGAGGGGGAATGGTGGGTTGGCTCTGCCACCAACAGCAGCGAGGACATCTCACATGGATCAGGAACATGTCCGTTACAGAAAGAGAGAGAGAGCCAAGAGCTGCCAACCCGACACCAGGTAGAGGTTTCCCTTTGTGCACAGGTTTAGTTTTTTTTTGTTTCTTCCAAGATAAGCCTTTCTCTGTGACGTAACACTGCTGCTGAATAGAACGTTTTATCATAAAAAAGTTAAATAAAATTTAAAAACAGAAAAAAAACAAGTTTCAACCAGTGATCTGACTCCAATCAAGTCTATTTTCGATCAACCAACCCCATTTCTCCCCCTCAAAAAAAAAGCCCTGGTCTCCAAACATATACCTTAACTCCACAGCCTGGTCCCTACAACGCTGAGCTGGTCTAACCAGGAAAGGAACAAACAATTCCAGCCTTGTCAACTACTCACTCCACGTGGACAGGCGAGGGGCTGGGAAGCTTCAAGAGAGTCGAAGGGTTAAAGTCCGCTGGGCTGATCAATGGGTTGAGTTGGTAATGTTGACCTGCGCAGACTGTAATTTTTTTTTAAAAAAAACAGTTTTAATGTGAATTGACATTCATTAGCCCAATGGTTGACAGTTCAGCAGGGCTGAGCAGTAAAGTCACCAATACTCAGGGGTTACCACAACACTGTGAGCCTTTCACAAGCAGTTAAACAGCTTAACAGGGCTGGGGCGAAAGACAGGCTCGAGAATTGCTCCTCTTCCTCTCTCTCACCTTCCTCTTCAGTGACCGGACATCCACTAAATTCACAGCTCATTGGCATGATAAACCTCCCCCACGCACCAACACCCATACACATACACGCTCTGTCTCACAACCCCTCACGCACGCACACACACACACATACGCAGGCAAACACACACAAAGAGGCTTTGGATAAATCTTAAAAACCAAAAGTAATATGGCAAGGATCTGGAAACGCCATTCCAATATGAAACAGACCCGACACGTGTCAAACATATTATCTTGTTACTATTCATAGCAAAAATAAGTCTTTCTTTTTCCAAAAAAAAACAGGCTCCTCTGTCCCAACATCAAGATTTAAAAATATCCTATATGCTGATGGTAGTGACACAATTGACTGATGCTATCGCCTTGTGTGACTTCTGCAGATTGTAACGAGATGGAAGGTCTTCAAAGTGAATACTTGGTGTTGAGGTCATCAAACACTCTAGTTTAACATCAACTTCCAGTACAGTCACAATGCTTGATTGCGTCATTGTCGATAATTGCACATTAACTGCCACAGAAGACTGTGGCTGATACCAGCTGCCCACAACACCTCTGTCCCAATAGCCGTTCAAGTCTTTTAACCTAAATCCAGTCTTTTTTTTTCTCTTTTATATATAAAAAAATGCGCCCTTTGCAGGCGAGATCCTCCTAGGAGATCATGTAGTGGGTTATTGCATGCAAAGAATAGAGAAGTTCTGCCTGCATCCGAGCTTCCAGGATCAATAGATTCACGCGGACCTGTAACACAGAGAGAGAGAGAGAGATAAGCAAATGATCTATTTCCATTGAAAACACACCAAGGACAACATGGGGCGGTTACCAGGCTGTAATCCTCTCACCTAGTGTCTTCTGCGTGAGAGATTTGGATGAAGAAGGTCATTTCGCCCATTTGATCTCAACCTTCCATAAAAACCCCCCCTACCCCCCCGCCCGCCCGCCTTACCCACAAACACATTCACACTTTTTACACATTCACAAGTGCAGTTTCCAGCTGAAGGCACAGGATTATCGATGTGGACCCCAACTGCTCAACTCGCCAGCCCATGGTTGCTGAGGCTAATTATAATACCTTCCCTCGCCCTCTCCCCCACCCCTCCCCTCTCTCTCCCCCTCCCCTCGCTCTCCCCCTCCTCTCTCTCTCCCCCTCCCTATACAATATCTTTTTTTTTGCGTGGACAAACACTGCCTTTGTTTTTGTTCATTTGGTGTAAATTCCCACCTTTTCCGAATATTTAAACTGTTTCCAGTATCTCTCGAACATCTGAGGCTTCACTTTCTCGGGGGAACAGGTGATGGTCTTCAGATAAACCTTCAGATTCCGCTCCAGGAACTGGTTCACTTCCCCGTAATCATAATCATCGTACCTGCGAGGCAAAGGAAGCCCTGTCACAGCACACACAACAACAACTTGCATTTATATAACGCCCTTCCCGCTAGATGGCATCTCGGGGGGGGCAACAGGGGCAAGCAGGTAGGATGAGGTAAGTGTCAGCCTGGCTCAGTCACTCTGGTGCTTTCCTCTGAGACAGATGGTTGTGGGTTCGAGACCCACGTCGGGGACTTTGAGCTTTGAGCCAATCGAACTAACGACCGGGTTCCTACTTACTGCTGAGCACACAGAGGCGTGTGCGCGGAGTAAGGAAACTTGCCTAAGGTTTCACCCGGCCCGGTCGGGAATCAAACCCGGGTCCTCAAGGCTTGCAAGGCGAGCGCAGTAACCGCTGCGTTACGCGACTCTTACTATTAACGCTCCCGGTACCTGATGCCGAACATGCAGTGGATGTAGTTCCAGATGCCCCTCTTGAACCCGGACGAGTCGCAGCCGCGCTGCTTGGCCATTGTGCCGTTCTTTAGGCTGTACACTGTGCGGAACTTCTCGTCCAGCAGGTGCCCGATGTCCGAGTACAGCCGGTTAACCAGCGAGAAGCCGTGGTCCTCCCACGAGTAGTCCTGCCCGAGAAAGACAATGAGGCTTTGCACAACACGGCACCTCTCAGGTACCGACAGCAGAGTCTGACAGCCACACCCACTGAGGAGAGGATAATGGTGTAGACACCGGGTCAATGTACAGCATTAACCTTGTCCTTTGTCATATACTTGTGTGTGTGTTCGGTGGGGGGGGGGTGGTGTTGGGGGTGAGGGGGTTAGCGGAGGGGAAATCCTGAGGTAAGTACCTGAGCTCGGAAAACAGGCAGTTGATCTCCACCCCTGCGAGCAAACTCCGGGTATCCAAACTCTGGGTCATCAACATAACAGGAGAGATCAGGAATAGTGACGGCTTTTTCTTCTGGAGCTGGGAACGATGCCACAGAGACAGAGAGAGGGAGAGAGCAACATTAGCCTCAGGGAAAGGCTGACACAATTCTCCTGTTGATTGGGCCCCTACTCCCCCAGCCCACCAGACAACAACAACAACAACAACAAATTACATTTACATAGGGCCTTTCACGTCAAGAGGACGTCCCAAGTCGCTTCACAGTCAGGGATTTGGGCTATGTGCTTAATTACAGGAGGAGGTGAGGCAGGGTGGGGCGGTGTGGGGACAGGGCAGGGGGAGAGAACCCCGTTCGGCCGCCTGTTACCTCTGGTCACTGAGGGGGGGCTCATGTCCTTTTCTGGTTCCAGTCCGATCCACGTTTCCTCGTGCAGCATCTCTTCCTCGTTCTCTTTCCCCGCCTGGAATTTCTGCATCTTGTCCCCCAGGCATTCCGAGTCGCTGGAATAATCAACCGACTGGAAACAGAACAGGGGACGATGCTCAGGAAAGTCAGGCTCAGGCCCAAAAGGGTTCACTGTGACAGTGGGTGAATGGCTGAGTGGGGGGTGGGGGGGGGCAAGGGTGTTGACTTGAACCATGGTGGGCTGGAGGTGGGAGGGCCAGGGGCTGGACGTGGAGGAGCGGAGGGCACACTTACCCGCCTCCTGCGGTGTGGTGGTGGGAGGTCTTGAGCGTTGCCGTGTGTGGGGTCGGTGGAGCACTGGTTGTTGATGGACGAGGGTCTCAGGATGTGAGCGGCCTCGGCTCCTCCTTCGGCGCTAATCCCGCAGCCAAACACAAAACTCGCCAGCGAGTGGTAGTGAGTCAGCAACACAACTCCATGCACCAGCTCAGCCAGAGACCAGCAGTGCTCACCGATCTTCAGCAGGTTCTGAAACAGAGAAGAGTTCCCGTCAGCCACAGCACAGGGTTAGAGACACAGTAAAGCTCCTCTACACTGTGCGTCCACACTCCCAGGTCAGGGATAGAGACACAGTAACGCTCCTCTACACTGTGCGTCCACACTCCCAGGTCAGGGATAGAGACACAGTAAAGCTCCTCTACACTGTGCGTCCACACTCCCAGGTCAGGGTTAGAGACACAGTAAAGCTCCCTCTACACTGTCCTTCCGAGCTCCCACTCTCAGATGCTGAGGGAGCTTTACTCTGTGTCTGAAGCTGGTGTTGGATGCCTCACCTCGATGTGCTGTTTGGTGATGAGCCAGGGCCTGTGCGCCAGGATCTTGTTGATCTCGTTGAGGTTCCTCAGCCTCTGGGGGATGTGATGGAGGCCCTGCAGCCACAGGGGGTCACCTCCCACCTGCAGGAACTGCTCCACATGGACCTCAACCAGGTAGGAGGACTGGTGCCGGGCTGCAGCCTGGGAACAACAAAGAAAGGGTTAATATTCCCAAATTCCCTGTTTCCCCAGATTATCCCTTATCTCAACTCACTAAAATAATATGTGTTGGTCCTCAATCGCTCACTGGAGCTCTGTACTCTGACCCCATTCCCTGTTCTCTCTCTCTCCCCATCGTGTCTGTGCTGGTGCTCACTCCCCCACTGCAGCTCTCTACTCGAACCCCCTGCTCTTTCCTCAAGCTCTTTCATACTGTTCCCCCAATTCCACGCTAAATGCTCTGTAATATTTCTAAGACCCCCCCCAAGAATGGGAGCGGTGAGCTGAGGAGGGGCATTACCATGATGGCGATGTAGTGTCGGTAGTGGAAGGGGAGGGGTCCATCCATGTGCAGTAAGTAGTGTTGGGTTTTGAGGAAGGACTCCAGGTATTGGGGGTGGCAGCCCATGAGCTGGACCACACTATCCAGGCAGCTCCTGCTGCCCAGAGCCTTGACAAACAGCTGGTGAGTCCTGTCGGCCTCAGCCCCCAGCTTACTGATCTGTGTGAGAAACAAAACACAGAGAGTAAGAGCACAGCCAGGACAACTGCTAACACTCACCATCTTCTATACTGTAAAACCCTATAGACATATTATATATATACATATACCTACACTGGGAAGCTTGCCAGACAGCGCTTTCTCTCTCAATGGCAAGTTATGTGGGTTTAATTCAATTCCCGGCAGAGGGCGAAACCTTGGGCAAGTTTCCTTACTCCACACAGAGCCTAATAATAATCCCTCCAAAACCAAAAACAATCATAAATTGGTCATTTTCAATCTACGACTGTTTGTGGGACATTGCTGTGCGCAATTGGCTGCCGCGTTCGCCCACAAATATACAGTCAATTCACTTTACAGTCTATTCTGTGAAGCGCTTTGGGACGTCGAGAAGATGTGAAAAGCACCATATCAAATGCAAGGATTATTATTACTTTATTATTATTATTAGCTGGTTAGACTCCAGCAGTTACCCCAACGCACACTCTGGGTCCTCCCCCCCAGCCTTGGCTCTACCAACCTGCGCCTAATACTTTCTGGAATTAGGTAAACAGGATGAGTCCCTCTAAGGAGAGAGAGAGAGAGAGAGCGCATTCCATTCCAACAATCTATCTCTGGGGTTTCCATGTGTAGGTGGGAAGTCTGGAATTCTCAGTTTGGTTTGGAGACTCTTAAGCAACGGTGATGGGTCAGACACCCGGCGACAAAAAAAACTATAACTGTACTAATAATGGCCATCAACCAAATCAGCGGAACGTCTCAAAGGGCACTTGGACTTTGCTGATAAATGTCACAGACACTCCCCATCACCCCCAGACCCCCACTCCCCATCACCCCTACTCCCCATCACCCCCACTCCCCATCACCCCCAGCCCCACCACTCCCCATCACCCCCAGCCCCCCCACTCCCCATCACCCCCACTCCCCATCACCCCCAGCCCCACCACTCCCCATCACCCGCACCCCAAAAAATACACACAATACCATTTCTTCGTTCACACTTGAAAGCCCAGACTGATCGGCAGTACCGGCCCCTGACCATTAGGTGTAGCTCATATGCTTTGTATGGCCACAACTCTGCCGGTCTGTGAGTTACTGGGGTGTAACATGTCACACTGAGCATCTGTCTGTTCAACCCCAGCCCCCAGCCCCAGTTTGGGAGGGGGAGTTTGCCCCAGTGTTGGGGCTGCGCTGCATCTCATCTTATTGGTTGGTTTGCCAGTGTCTGATAGAGACAGAAACCTGTCAGTATACCCGAGAACCTGCAAACCGATTACTGCAGTTGCATATATAAATATGTATATATGGAAATTTCCATTTGTCTACAATGAAGTGCTCAGTCTCTCCCTGGAGGGACGCAACAAATCCTAACCCAGGGTTTTTGGTGCAGGCTGACTTGGGTTCCCCAGAGTGTGCGTTAAGGTAACCAATGTCAACTAACCAACTAAAACACACATCGCTTGCCATTGAGAGCGCTGTCTGGAAAGCTTTCCCACTGCTTATCCAGCGAGGACCACCCTACCCCGTTGGGGCTTTGGCTTACAGGGTTAACGGGAGCCGAGGGAGAGAAATAAGCAAGGAATGAGGTCATTTCCATGGTGGAATCCCAATTGTGAAGGCTGATGCCTGTCTCACAACCACTGCGCTGTAAACACTCGGCTGGCGAGAGGTTTAAAATACTCCCAGATACTCAGAGACACGTTTGCCTCGTACTGCTGGGATCTGCGGTCACCCGATGGGGCAGCCAAATGTGGAACAGTAGCGCCCGCTGGCATTCGGGGCATGGCAACGCAGCTCAAAGGTGCTAATCTATCCGAGTTACTCTGAAATACAGGCATTGCATTACACTGCATTACAAGGCGGCCGGTCGAGTAGTAAGAGAGACGGACACAGAACGCACACACCACACACACTGGTGTCAAGAGAGAGATACAAGCAAACTCACACTCACACACAGACACAATTGGCAGACAGACAGACAGACAGACAGACAGACACTCAAACGGAGCGTAAAAGACAGAGAGACACGTAAGAGACAGAGGGATACAGACACAAATTAGAGATGCAAATACAGTGTACTGTAATGGAGAGAGAGAGCGAGAGAGAGAACAAGTCTGTTTTTTGGTCAGTCGGGTGCCTGACACGCACACACCCAGGAACCCACGCTGGATGGGGAGGGGTTGGTGGGGGGGGGGGGGGAGGAATGGGGGAAGGAGCGCTCGAAGCGATTAGTTTTTGAAAGTCGAGAGTGATTCTGGCAGATTTTTAACCCATTTTATCCCCCGTTAGATAATCAGCACAAAACATATGCCCCCTTTTGTTTCACCCACAAAACACACAGTCACTACACTTTACGGTGTATCCTGTGAAGACGGTGACGAGGCGCTGGGTCCGAGCCGGACTGAGAATTCCATGTGCGTATGGATCACTTTCCCCTGCGCCTCACGCTTGAAAACAACTGCAGAAAATTAGCGTCGACATCAAGACCAAATTCAATGAATTCTCCAAACATCCGGGCGCAAGGTTCAACTTTAAGACAAAGGGTCTTAAGCGTAAGACCGAGAGAAACCTCGGACCCCTGAATCCTGAAGCAGCAAATTTAGAGTGAGAGAGAGAGAGTGAGAGAGAGAGAGAGGGAGAGAGAGAGGGGAGAGAGAGAGAGGGGAGAGAGAGAGAGGGGGAGAGAGGAGAGAGGGGGAGAGAGAGAGGGAGAGAGAGAGAGGGAGAGAAAGAGGGGGAGAGAGAGAGGGGGAGGGAGAGAGATGCTGCTTTCAAGGGTTAGAACTCAATGACTTGGCCAATGATCCCCTAAATAAAATCGCTCGTTCACTCCACGCGGTTTGTGGGACGTTGTCGAGCGCAATTGGCTGCCGCACTCGCCTACAAGGTACACAGTCACTACACCTTACTGGGCAACAGTGCTGTTTCCAGGCTGTACATTCTTTGTAAATCTATGTAAGGATGATTATTGGTATTATTACTATTAATATTATCATCGTCTGAGACCGGCAACGAAGGCTGAAGATACTACGTGGTGTCGGTGGAAGGTTAGCGGGTCTGGAGGCATCACCCCCCAAAAGCCTCCGCAAACACCAACGGGTGCTTTTCTCCGTCGCGAGAGCAGCTCTACAAACTGCAGCTGAAAACTGTCACTGTTGTTCTTTTGACAGTTTAAGAGGAAACCCTTAACCGGTTTCCGTTTTTTTTTATATATTGAAGGATATATTTTTTATTGAAACCTCAGCCGCCCCATTTTTTTTCCTTCCTGCGGCGGCAAACACACGCCGTGGGTTATGCGTTATCTCTGTCACCTCCTGTCACCTCCTGGGAGTCTGACCCTTTTACATTGGGACAAATCCCACTCAACACACACTCTGCAGGGAATTGGTTCCTGGTTCCCATTTCGGCTGTTAATGTTGGGATTGGGGAGGGGGTGGGGGTGGGGGGGTGTGGGGGGCCGGGGGTGGCGAGGAATGGGGGAAGGAGCGCTCAAAGCGATTAGTTTTTGAAAGTCAAGAGTGATTCCGGCAGATTTTTAACCCATTTTATCCCTCGTGATAAATAGCGCAACGCATACCCCCTTTTGTTTCACCCACACAATAAATACACAGTCACTACACTTTACAGTGTATCCTGTGAAGCGCTTTGAGACGTCTTGAAGACGGGATGAGAGGCGCCGGGTCAAATGTCAGGATTATTAATGTTGTTATTATTAACAACAATAACTTACATTCGTATTCGCGTCCTTCATGTCGGGCGTTTAGAGGAAAGTGAATTTTAAGGTTAAGGGCAGATGTCAATGGGATATGTGTTGTGCTGTTTACCACAAGGGAATAAATTGGGGTTAAAACATAGGAACAGGAATAGACCATTCAGCCCCTCGAGCCTGGAAAGTGGAGTCCTGTAGTTTACAGGTCAGAGCACTCGCCTCGCAGGCGAGAGGACCCGGGTTCGGTTCCCGCGCAGAGCAAAACCTTCGGCAGGTTTCCTTACTCCGCACACGCGCCTCTGTGCACCGGCGGTGAGTAGGAACCCGGTTGTTAAGCCGATGGGCGGATCGCTTTCCGGGGGTAATAATCCCTTCAAAAAAAAAAGTTTTCATTAATAATTTGGTCACTTAATCCGCGACTGTTTGTGGGACCCCGGCTTGCGCAATGGACTGCCGCGTTTCGTATTATAAAATACACAGTTACTACACTTTGCAGTATATTCTGTGAAGCGCTTTGAGACGGCTCGAAGACGTGCTAAGGCGCGATATTAAATGCAAGGATTATCATTACTATTTACCACCACCCCTCCCCTCTCCACCCCCACCCCCCCATCACACGCACACGCACACGCACATACATACACAACACCACGACGTGTTTATGTTTTATGCTGCGGCTGATTGCTCAACACTCCGGCATGTGACCTGCCCTGAAAGGGTTAAGGGGCCCATTGAGGACCAGCCCTGGTTGGCAGCTGGACATTACGGACCCCAAATACTATGTGTCCTGTTGACAGACACAGCAACTGCATGAGATTGGATTACCATAGGTTCCTCAGACCAAACAATCCTCCCTCCCTCCCTCTCTCCCTCTCTCCTTCCCTCCCTCTCTCCCTCCCTCTCTCCCACCCAGTGCCCTCCACACCCCGATGGTGACTCCCATTCCCAGTCCATGTCCAGCTGGAGTAGCGCTGGGTGGGGTTGGGGGAGTGCGGGGGTGGGTGATTTCACTACAATTGGCCTCGGTGTCTGTAGGGGAGAGGGGACACGTATAAAAACCTCAATCAGTCCGGGTTCATTGACAAAGGACACTTTGTCCATCTGCGACCAGGGCTCCCTCTGCCTCCTCCTCCTTGACCTCTCTGCTGCCTTTGCTATGGCTGACCACTCTATCCTCCTCCACCGCCTCTCCTCTCACCTCAACCTTCACGGCTCTGTCCTCGACTGGTTCAGATCGTATCTCTCACACCGCCGGCACTTCATCTCCACAAACGGTTTCTCTAGACCCTACACTGTCTCGTGAGGCACTCCTCAGGGCTCTGTCCTTGGTCCCCTCCTCTTCAATATCTACATG